CCGCACATCCTGCCTCGCCTAGTTATTTAATCATGATAAACACATGTCTATCACTCACATAAACAATTTGGAGAAAATGGGAGAGCTCAGCCAAAATTTTGTCTTTAGTGCTCGCTATATTATATATGACTTCCTTGAACACACTTTGAAAAAAAATTTTTTTTTTATTCATTTCGTGGGTTAAGATGAATTAATCATGTAATATACCTGTCTAGTTTGTAATAATTGAAATATGCTCATCTCTGCACCTGCTTATTTGATAATTACCATGCTGTAACTTTGATAGACTTCACTGTAGTTTCGCTATATCATTTCCCTCATATTACCTCCGATCCAAAGATTTTGAGAAGTAAAAATGTCGTGGCGAAAAGACAAAGTAAAGATCAAGAATGGACTAATTATGGCGTCCAGTCCTGTACGTAGAGAGTGACATGCGATCAGCTTCCATGACAACTAAAAAAAGTGATATCAATTATCGCCCATACCAAAATTATTCGAATCCATTAAAAGACAATTTAATGAAGACTTTAAGACGTCCATAAATGATTACTTTGCGGCAACGCAGTCTCCTTAAAAGGACAAACCTTGCCCTTCTCGTTGGGCTGAAGTAATAACAATGATTTTCTTTGATGAAAACCAACAGAAGTAAAATAGATATTAAGGAATTTTTTTACTGATCCTAATTTGGTTCGATTGTTTAAAAATAAACAAAAAATAAAAAACAAATTAAAGAAAAGGGAATCATCATCATCATCATCATCATCATCATCATTATTATTATCATTCTTTTTGGTTTGGTGGCTTTTACAGGTGGATGCCCATAGTCTTCGACGAATAAAGAAAGGAGCATAAAATTCCTGTCAGTACTGGTCTTTTCCTGTACTCACCTTATCACTTCTTTTTCCTGTAGATGGTCTTGAAAAAAGTCCAGTTATGCTTGCCTCGTATTGAGCTACCAGGCTAAAAAGGATAGCCAAGCTAATGAATACAGCTACAGTGGCTTTCATGTTGGTTTGGGATATCACAAGTAATTCTTGATCTAATCCACNATTATTATTATTATTATTATTATTATTATTATTATTATTACTCGGCCGGACTTTTTACTGCCTTGGTCAGTATCGATACCTTTCTAATTTTCAAAAAATTTATCAAGTGCCTTGATTATTATGCTCCACTTTCTTAAATTCAGTTCTATCTTATTTTTTGTTTAATGACTGTTTGTAAACTAGGATGATAATTAATATTGATGGAGTTGTCGTCGACTCCTAAAATTATGCTGCATTTATTAGACTCTGGTAAAAAAATGTCGAATTATTCTAATAAATCTCGGCTTTGAAAAAACAAAACAAAACAAAACAAAACAAAAAAACACACACACACAACACACACACAAAACACACACACATACATACACACACATACACACAAACAATTTTTTGGCTCTAGGAAAAGTATTGAGAATTAAGGTTTAGAATGAAGTGACCAAAAAGAACGAGAGGAATTATGAATGATCTTAAAATGATGAAGGTCACAATTTAGATATAAAAAATGTTTAAAATCTTTGTATTGAAACGAAACTCTTCCATATCCCTCATATTCCATATAATGCTCGATACTGGGGGTCTGTAGTGGCAATTTCTACACACAAATATGTTTTTTAGCATACATGCAGACAGACAGTCCATTCATTTCTGTGATTTGGCTTTTAGTTTTGGAGATGTTTGGGGGCAAAATCTAAGATTTCACTTCCAGAGGTGGTGGGTACCGGGTAACACAACCCCTCTAAATCGGGTACCATGAGATGACAATTGTTTTGCCCTCATCCCTAAGACCACTCTTTTATCACTCCGAATAGAATTGACCGGAAGTTCGACAACTTGTTTATCACTCTTGATTTTCCGAATCAAGAAGTTCTGAAGTTCAACCTTCGGATATTTGTCGTGACAATACTCTCCCTAGTCGATCTCAATCACCTAAACTGTAGCCTGCGTTTCTCCCGGCTCCCGTCCTCTTCAGGAACGCCTAGCTACGCAGGCTACCTGCACCGTGAGGGGTTGTTTTCAGAATACATAGTTTACTGACATTAAACATCGCGGGCTCTCTTTTAAAAATGGCGGATCAAAGTTAACCAGACTGGACAAGTGTAAGCGCATTATTCTGTTGAATATATTCTTTATATACAGTCAAATATAATGTGGCGCTTTGCAGGTGTTTTTAGGATTCATAACAGCTTAATTCAAGCGAGGTATAGAAGCTTAAGCTCTGTTTTTACTAAGGTTGTTACAGTCTCATTTGACTGTCTATCAGAGGATCACCATATTCGTGTGTTATGTTCTGGGTTATCAAGACGTTTTATGCTTATAGATGGTACAAAGAATAACATAAGGAATTTTCACGTGAGGAACTGTGTATTGTTTAGTAAGGGAATCCATGAAAACCCGAGAAATCAAAACATTAAAGCAAAAACTGTGTTACTCATTGACTCAGACGGTGAAAAGTTAGGGACAGTGTCGCTGAATGAAGCACTAGATAAAGCTAAAGAAAAATCCCTGCATTTGGTCGAAATAGAAAGACAAAAGAGCTTGAAGCCTGCCGTCTGTAAACTATTTTCTCCAAAAATGATATTTGAATCAGAGAAGAGAGCCAAACACAATTCACATGGGGCCAAGCAGAAAGAGCTTACTATTACAGGGAAAATAGCACCACAAGATCTAAAGTGGAAAATTCAAAAGATCTATGATTTCCTGAAAAATGGCAATTCTGTTAAATTATCAATTAGACGGAAGCCTTATCAGAAGATATCCCAGGAAGAAAAATTGGAGATTGTGAAAAAAGTTGTTGAAGAAATACAAGATGTTGGTATCATGGAGGGGGAACCTAAAGTGATAGGTGCACTTGCATTAGGGTGCCATTTCAAGCCATTTACACAGAGAGTAAATCAAAAGAACTCTAGATAAAGTTTGTAGCATTATTGTTATTACTGAAGATTTACATCTCCATCTTACATTATAAGCATCTTCACTGAGTTTGTGAAATGAGGCCCTGTTAGGGGTAAATATTCCGACAAGCTACATGACTTTGAAACAGTAGCATAAGAGCCGGGAACTAGGGATGAACAACAGACTTCTCTAATGAATTACTGACAGTAAGGTCCTGTTATAATAAAGTAGGGGTAAATTCTGACTAGTGATACAAGAACATTCCAAAATTGCAACATAAGTAGTTTTGAATTCCCCGCAATAGGCCTCTGAAATGTAAGGTAAAAAGGTATGTTGTCTTAGGGATGTGGTATTTGTTTGGGGAAAGGGAGGGAGGGGGGTAGGAGCCAACCAATAGGTAGACCAAGAGAAAATGAACTAAAAGGAAGAATCCTTGGTATTCATGTAACCATCCAAGGGCAGATCCAGCCATAATTTTAGGGGGGGGGGAATCTAAGGGGGGGGGGGGCTAATTGAGTTTCTTCCATCAACACAATGGAAAACAATATAAAAAAGCATTGTTTTTTTCKGSSGGRGGGGGGGGGGGGGGGCTTCAGCCCCCCTTTGCCCCCCCTGGATCCGCCCTTGCCATCATTGACACCGTTTGATGCTACAGTAATTATGTAATTAAATTTTTCACATGGTTTGTTTTTCTGCAACCATATACTAAAATGCTCTATACTGTTTGCTCACACATATTTRAAAAACACAAGAAGACACAAACAAATAGCCTCTGAAGTGACATATAGTGGGTAGAAAAATGAACAATCAAGTGAATGATTCTAAAAACTCTACCCTGATAAATCTCTCACTCTTTGGAGCACATGCAATAAAAACTTGAAATAAAAACAGTTGATAAAGACAAATAGTACTATTTAGTGACTAATATTTGCCATCACAAATAAATTAAACAAAAGACACAAATGGTCTCTTGTGTATTTGTCTTCGTATGATGAGTGTTCTGGTTGAGTGATAGCAACTATTAGTAAGTAATAGCTAGTATTTGTCAGTATCAACTTTGTTTTTATTTCATGGTTTTACTGTATGCGCTTTAGGAAGATTAGTGTTTAGTTAGTTTGTTGATGATTAGAGTGCACGCACTAAACCTGTGAAACATATTTAGTACTAATTAGTAGTAATTCATACAGAATCCTTTGTTTCCTATTGTTTGATTATCACTATTTAGTACTAAAAATTAGTATTTGTTTCACGGGTTTAGTGCGAGTACTCTAACCCATATCACACCTATGTCATACAGCTAGTTAACTTAGAGACATATGATGTTATGGCTTCCCTTGTTTGAACTAATTCCTAGCTCAGACAAATATGTTGAAGCTACAAGCCATAGCAAACATGCCTGTGGCCTGACTGACATCATGTAGGCTGATTATAGAATCACGAAACCAACTGTAAAACTAGAATATTGACTTTTATTCATGATATGCTTTGCTTATATATAGTATTTTATTCTACAAAAGAAAATAAATAAAAGGTGTTGATTATTTTTAACATTCATTAAATTTATTACAGATGCTCTGTCATTTCCCTTCTGCAATTTAAGTTTTTCTCCAAAGTTTTCACTATTAAGTTGTCTTCCCTAACCAATCTTTATAAGGGAGTATTCACAATTTATGGGATGGAGGCTATGGAGTTTTGAAGGGAGCCAGCCATTTTCAAGGGCGGATCCAGCCAAAATTTGGGGGGGGGGG